TTGTGGGATCAAGTCCTGCATTGGGCTCTCTGCTCAGTGGGGAGTCTGCTTCTCCCTCTCCCTGTACCCCTCTCCCCAGCTTGTGCTCTCGCTCTCTTGCTCTCTCTCACTCTCTCAAATATATAAATGAAAAAAAAAATCTGGTGGAAAATAAATCTCAGTGAGTCCCTGAGAATTGTGTAACGGTCTTATGTCGATTTCTTGCTTTGCAGTTTAACTCAGCTGCTAAGCAGCTGATAGAATGGGATAAGCCTCCTGTGCCAGGAGTTGATGCTGGAGAATGTACCTCAGCAACAGCCCAGAGCAGCAATGCCCCAAAGCACTCTGATACCAAGAAGAACACCAAAAAGCGGCACTCCTTTACTTCCCTCACCATGGCCAGCAAATCCTCCCAAGCATCCCAGAACCGCCACTCCATGGAGATCAGCCCTCCTGTCCTCATCAGCTCCAGTAACCCCACAGCGGCTGCGCGGATCAGTGAGCTGTCCGGGCTTTCCTGCAGTGCCCCTTCTCAGGTAAATCATACAAAGGTATGAAAAGAGGTTGGAAACAAAGTAACCTACCCACAAACATGTTTGTTCACTAGCTGGAAAATGCTATTTATTTTTGCCTTCAAAAGATAGTAATTTTCCTTTTAAAAAAAAAAAGAGAGAAAATAATAGCTCTCCTGGGAAGCCTTTTTTTTTCTTTATTCTGTAGATAGAAAAATGGAGAAGAGAAAACTAACCTGAAACTACTCAGTCATTTTCAAAGGAAGGATCAGAAATTACAAAATGATTTAAGTAATAAGTTTCAAGCAACTGCTTAGTTTTATAGAACCTTGTCTGTCATGGGGCTACTTTGGAAGATCTTGCCAACTAAAATTTTATCTTCATCCAAACTGAAGATGCTGTGGTTGAAACTGATAGTTGACAGTTGCTTTCATCTGTGTACCTTACCCTGATACTTAGGCTTCCCAGTAGGAGTTATAGAGAAAAAAAAAAAAAGAAAGGACATGAAGAAACATTTAATTTAAATTAGGAATTAACCATATTTTTTAAAAAACCTCATAAGTTCATCAAGGCTTTGAACTATCTTCAGAAGTAGCTGCACATTATTCTTGTGTTAGTAAGAATACACAAGGTGATTGGAAACACGCATGCAGTCAGCAGGCATTTATTGAGTGCCTCATTGTTAGACCCTCCTAGGCACCATGTACACTGCAATAAGGAGCTATAGGACTTCCCTATATTAGGCCTTCATTCTGGACTATAAAATGAGCTCACCTAAGTCACAGGGCTACTATAATTATCCAGTTAGATGACAACTATATTTTTCTTCAACCCAAAGGTCAGAGAGCCCAATCCAAAGCAGTCTGTCTGAAAGAAATTTCTTTCAAGTCTCATATTTAATTTTTAAAATTCATGCAGATTTTACATTCTACTTTGTAATATAGCTGTAGTTTTTTTTTTTTTAAACACAAGAATTATTTCCTTTAAAGAAAACAAAGAAACAAATACATAGTCTTGGTCCTCAGAAAGTTTTCAGTTTAATTAAAATGGCTGTTTTGGGCCACAGAATAAATATGTACAACATAGTTTTCGTTATTCCTTGCCAATTTTATTAAAAAAATTTTTCTCAAAAAAAATTTTTTTTCTCTCAGCCTCATTTCTTTGACCTTGCTCCCTTAGATTCATCCTGCATGTTGTGAGTTAAATGCATTCATTTTCTGAATAAGATTCTGATTTGTTGGTGTTTTTTAGTTGGTGGGGAAATGAAGCTTTTGATCTTATGAGGGAATGAGGATATACAGACATACCTCACTAGAACATAAGTGTGATGAAGGGAGAGGTCTTTGTTTTTTGTTCACCAATATATCCCAAATGTCAGACATACAATAAACACTCAGTAAATATGTATTGAATGAATGAGACACTTGAAAAATAGGTAGAAAGGAGAGCTATGTTACTTTATATGTAACTAATTGTACCTATGTGAAAAATAAGCATGGGTTATAGATTGGAGTAAGGAATACCAATTGAGATCGCTCTGGAAAGGTTCAAAAGATTTTTGAATAAGGTTCTGATGGAGGTGGCTAGTAAAGATGGCCATTCAGTATAAGAAAATTGAATCATTTGTGTTTTTTATTTGTGACCTAGCAACATTTGCACAATGATGTTTTGTTAAAATAAAAGGTCTATTTCTGGTAAGATAGTGGCAACTCAGAATAGGAGTTGCTTTAAAGAAAAGACAGTAATCTTTTGGCATTAGAGAAAATTAAAAGAGAAAGGAGGGTAAACCTAGCATTTATTTCTTTTGTAGAGAACTCAGCAGTCAGGTGTGAGCATGTCTGACGCTGCCACACCAGAGCTGGGAATGAAGACTATAAAAGTAGAGCTATTTTTGTTTTGGTTGGAGTAGCTTAGGAAACAAGGCTCTCTCTGTGTTCCATTAAAACAGCTTCCCATTCAACTGTTCCAGCCCTCCTCTTGTATTCTAATTCATTCTGTTTTAGGTGGTAATGTGTTGCCTCAGGGATAAGTTATTTCAAGAAGCCGATGGGAGATGTTTCAAGTGCTGCCTGGCTTCTCCAGCCCAGGTTTACAGAAAACAATTCCCTGTCTAGCTCACTGTGTACATTGGAGGGAACCACAGTCCATGATCAAGCAATACGTGTGTGTAGCATAGGTGATGGGCAAACACTCTCCTACCTGTGGAGATCAGTGTACATGGAAAGATGGCTCATGTTAATACTGTTGAAAATAGGACTGTCCTTTTTCTCTGCCCTGCAAAGGACCAGTCAAGAGATTTGACTTCTCCTGCTCTGACCCTTTTTCCTTTTCTTTCTTTTTATTTTTTATTTTGACAATGCTGAGAAGAAGGATGTTTTATTATCCTGACTTGGCCAATTTTCTCTCTTGCTTTTCCTTAATTAGGTTTGGTTGCACTTAGAAAATCTGAAGTAAGGAGCCCAAAGAAGTGAGTGTTCATTTTTCTATCACCTGAATGGAATCCACATGTAGGTAGTCAGTGATGGTGTGATGGTGCTTTTCAGCTCACCTTTCCAGCATGGGGGTAGAACCTTATCCTCGTGTGTCTATATGGAATTTAGAGATCTCTCCATGACATCCAAATTCTAGTCAGCAGGATGGGGAAATGGACAGAAGAAAGGAGCAGAGGGCTTGCTTGCTATTACATTTGGTGACTATTGAGTGAAGGCAGAATTTTCAAATACCTAAATTGGGAAATTATTTATAGACTGTGCTGTCCAGGTGGGTCACCAAAACAAATATGCACAGATGTCTGTGACATCTGTGAAAGCAGATGATGCTCTAAGTAAATAAGCCTTTTTGTCTTCTTCTCTGTCTCCACTCATATTTTTTGGTCTCTGCCAGCTGCAGGAATGCTTCATAATATTAAGTGTTTTTGTGGCATTTTTTTGAATTAACAATGGCTCCAAGGGAGCCAGAGGTGCACCCACTCATTTCCATTTGCTTTCCCTACCTCTTTCCCTCTCCACAGAGTCATTGTGGAGGAGCCAAAACTAATTTGCAGTTCCATGAGGGAGAGAGAAAACAGGAGAAAGTTGTTCCCAACTCTGGCATGTATTCTGGGCATGCTCACTGCTCAGCCAGTTTACTTGTGCTTTAGTCATTCTCTGGTGACTTTTATTTCTTATTTTACTCAGTATTAGGAGTGGCCCTGTGTTGGCTGGGGTTTGCAGAAGTCTCAGTGTTCACTGCTTCCCTCCCGTGTCCATGATAGCAGACACCTTAGAGGGCATCTGGTCCAGCTTCTCACAGGCTGTGAGGTGTTTTGTCTAAGACCATGAGCTCGTTAGCAATTAACTATCTTGACTCCCAGTCTGTGGCTTTTAGAGAAACATTGATCAATCAGGAGATCATTCTTAGATATCTATAGGGTCAGGCCCAGGAAGCTGTATTTTGGTGGGTTTTTTTTTCTACCCCGAAGATTCCATAACAATGACATGCACTTTGAAGTGAGCTTCATTGTATCTTCTGAGAAAGACTCCATCTTTTATGTGGTGCCAACTTACAAATGTTCTTGTGGTGTGTATGTATATAAACAGATTTATTCATTAAAACAGCTAAAGGCCATTGGATTTTATCCTAGAATGAAAACTCACTGTACTTCCCATTAAAAATTGATTGGAAATAGGCTCTGGTTCACAGGAGAGACAAAAAAGGAGGGTTTGGGGAGAAATTCTTGTTAGGGCATCACTTGGATCTGCTTAGTTTTAAGCCTTTGGTTGAATTAGTATCTGAGCGAACAGGTGTGGATGTGATTTTAAAAGGACATGGATTCCATGTATAACACAGATTTATTTGTGAAAATAAATTGTATGCTGTGATGCTGGTTTTCCCTGGCCTTGGTGAGGCCTAACTCAGCGGGGAAACTCAAGTTTCCTTCGGGCCTCTGGGAACTAATCTCTGAGCTTTTCTTTGTCCTGATAATCTTTTTCTTAATTTATAGGAATTGAGGGAACTATGTTTGGGATTAAGTTTTATTACAAAAGGCCCTGCATTGTTGGAGTATCATTGTTTCCTTGGGGAAACAAGGCACCAGCCAACCACATTCCTTTAATAGTGGAGGAAAATTGCCCCATTTGTACAGGAACCCACGTGCCTCCATCTGCAGCATCAAGTGATGACAGCATTCTGCAGTTGGACTTGATATGCAACCTGAGTGAAATTGATTGAGTAACTGAACACAGGCAATGAAATGGCCTGAATAACTCAATTTCTTTATAGTAAATTAATCTTGGATAGTATCAGGGATAAGACACCTTTGAAAACAGCTAATTTTGCTTGACATTGTTCCTTTAAAGGTTTTATAAATAATCACCTGCTCTAGGCATGTCTAGGCAGCTGCATTTTAATTATGCATCCCCACTGAAGAGTAGAAGTCATGAAAAATGATCCTGAGAATAACAAAATACCTTAAGCACTTCACAAAGATTTGCATATTGATAGACAGGTGAGTATTCAGCCACGACCTACCTTCCCAGAATCTTCAGGAGAATTGCTAGTGGGCTCCTCAAGCATCAGACTAACCATCTGAAAGGTCAGTTTGGTTCACAGTGGCATCCCAAGTGAGGCAGCATGTCATTGCAAAAGCCAACAGCGGTTGAATTCTGTATGTAAAACATCACAGTGGCCAGTACTTATCACGTGACCACCCAGTGTTGAGTACCAATTAGGTCATCAGTAAATGTTGATTGAATAAACTGAAAGAGTTTCTGCCTTCCCCAAATCATAAAAACTTAACAGATATTATTTTTTAAAATTATAACTTATCTCCCCAAGGTTTAGTCTGTACAGTCTATTATAGTAAATGTAGTTGTCTTTCAATTAACTTTTTTTTTTTTTGACAGGTTCATATAAGTACCACCGGGTTAATTGTGACCCCACCCCCCAGCAGCCCAGTGACAACTGGCCCCTCATTCACTTTCCCATCGGATGTTCCCTACCCAGCTGCCCTTGGAGTGAGTACAGCCTCTCTGGTCTCTGTTTCTCTCTTAGGTATTTAGTCCCATTAATCTGGCACACCCACCTCCTAACACCTGCAATTTATATTGACACTTGCTAGGTGGGGGTGGATCTCTTTCATCTGTTATCTCTGTTAATCTTACAGGAAAAATGAGAAGGTTTCTTGCCTACAGCCTGCATAATTTTTAACAGTAAGGATCAGTGGCCTGAAGCCATTAGAAGAGTTCTATAGAATACTTTTAATTTTCATTAACGTTCAGCCTGATTTCCCGAAGGCTTAACCTAAAATTTCTTTTTCATTTCTTTTGAGTTTCTAGACTTTACTTATTTCTTTCAAAAACACATTTATAGAAATACTGAGGAAACAGGAATCCCAAAAGCTAAGCTGTTTGCTTTCAGTCACATGATGAGTCGATTCCAAATCTCCATTTATGATTCAGCTTTTGGTTTCTTGTCTTCCTCTACGATAGCTGCAGCTTTGCTGCCTTGGAAGCCTCCCTCAGATTGTCTTGATTTTCTTTGTGAAGACATAGCATCGTACAGAGTCTAAACACTAATTGCTTCACAATACCCTCATAGGAGGAATTAATAGGAGAAATGAGGGCAGCCAAGGGAGATAGATACATAGAAGAACACTATGGAGAGAAAATTAAAAGTGAAGAAACAAGCAGTTTCTAAACTCAACCTTACATAGCAGAAACACAGTTGTTTACATCCCAGTTTCCTGGGGCACCTGGGTGGCTCAGTGGTTGAGCATCTGTCTGCCTTTGGTTCAGGGCGCGTGATCCTGGGGTCCTGGGGTCCTGGGATGGAGTCCCACATCAGGCTCCCCACAGGGAGCCTGCTTCTCTCTCTGCCTATGTCTCTGCCTCTCTCTGTGTCTCTCATGAATAAATAAATAAAAATCTTTAAAAAATAAAAATAAATAAATCCCTGTTTCCTGAAGTTACAGGCAGTTGAACTACAAGGAACCAGCAATTGTGAGACATCTCTCATCCAGGCCATTGCTTTGGCTTATGTTCTCAGACTGTTTCTTTCAGTGCTAAATCAAATGAGAATAGAAAAGATGACCAAATCAGATCTCCCCAGTGGGCCCTGCCCCTATAAGTTGATTTATAGAGTCTCACCTGGCTATGATGCTCTCAGAGAAACAGCATGGCCCAATGATATGGCCACAGACTTGGATTGGAAGCCCAGCTCAGCCACTTACTTGTTTACATGACCATGAAAAGTTACTCAACCTCTTTAAGCTTCAGTTCCTCTACCGGTAAAATGAAACTAATACTATGTACTTTGAAGAGTTAGTACCATGCCTAGAATGTAGTAGGGGATGACTATTACTGATCTCTCTATTGAGGACTGTTGCAAGGTGGGCCTGTGATATGTGCGAATGCCTTGGAGGGCCTGCCTGGTCCATTGTGTTATGGTTTCTCTGCTCTCTGTACCAGGAATAGGGAGGCTTCTAAGCAGCTGGTTTGTTTTTAGGTTGTGCATTTTATATATGTTGTAAAGATTATGTTTCCTTCTGCTAGAATGCTTAGAGCCAAATCTGTACCCCCCTCCAACTAAGACCTCACAACATATTAGCACATTAGTCAAGATGTTGGCTCCATCTAGTTTTATTGTCCTCATGTTCCTTTTGTCTCACTTTACTTTGAAACAAGATGGGATATAAATAAATGTGGAGTTATTACTGAGCCTGACTTAGACTTTAGAAAACTTTTTATAGAGTTAAGCATGTTCTTGTATTTAAATGGAAGTTAATAATGTTCTGGTTAGGAGTTAAAGTTGTATTTTGTTTTTTTTTTTTTTTAATGTTCCCAGAACAATTACAGCTGCCTTGATAGTACCACTGTTTGGTGTAAGAAAAGTTGTGTTGATTCTTCTGGGTAGAAAAAATTCAGTTAACTTTTATTAAAATGTGGTTTTCATGAGATTCTGTTAGCCTCGGGTGTTTTGACCAGAGCCAAGTTCCATAATCACCCTGCCCTCCTTTCTCCAGAAAAGACTCTCCTTTCCTTCCTGCTCTTCTACCCCAGTGCATACACAACCAGTTGGTATTTCCATTTCCAGATGACTGCTTCACATGGAAAAATTCTAGCATAATTTCTTAAGTGAAAAAGGCTGCTTTTTCTGATCTTAGAAAAATTAATTAGTGGAAAAGACAGAGCTGGCTGAATTTCAGCCCTTGTGGGCTGAAAATTTTACAGTGTAGTAAAAGGCCAGTTGCTCTTCGCTAGAGGCACACTGTAGGGCAAGCCAATGGGACAGGTCACAAGAGAGTATGAATATACAAAAATTAATTTACATTCAACCATTTCATCCTCAGATTATATAAGAGAAAGCCTGAATGTTAAACAAGAGGAAGGTTTATTAAACAGTATGTCTACTGTGCCAATTCCATTTAATGAAAAACTAATTATAAACAGACCTGTCTGTCATCCCAGGAGATGTCTAGATCTCAAAGTCCCTGGTAGGTTGGCAGAAATGTTTTGGATTTAATATGTTAGGTTTAAGTGGAAAAAAAAATCTCAGTAGCATGTACCCTCTATATCTTACATTAAAAATGGCAAGTATCCTATTTAAAATCTGAAATATTGGGACACCTGGGTGGCTCAGTGGTTTAGCACCTGCTTTTGGCCCAGGTCATGAGTTCCACATCAGGCTCCCTGCACGGAGCCTGCTTCTCCCTCTGCCTGTGTCTCTGCTTCTCTCTCTGTCTCTCTGTTTCTCATGAATAAATAAATAAAATCTTAAAAATAAAATCTGAAATATTTTCTAAGCATTTGAACACTGTCACAGCAATAGTATGCAGCTTGGTAGAAAGGAAACCATGTTTTTTGTGGTGTGGATTTATTAGGTAATAAATGCCAACACTAGAATAGGAAATGAAAATCATTTCTAGTATTTTTGTCATGAATTGAGACTTTGGAATCTTTTATGCAGAATGAAGTTAGGAGCATATTGTCCTATACATTTCACATATAACAGTTAAAATGTTAGATATCTAATATTAAGAGTAAAACTGGCATTATTTCTATCTAATGTAGACATCTGGCTATTAATAGTAATAAGGGATTTTTTTCCAATTAATTTTATGAAGGGAAGAGGGTGAGGATCTATGTTAGTCTTGTATTTCTGCACACGGGCAGAAGAACTCTTAAATAAGTGATTAATAATCCCTGATTCCCTGTACCAGCTGAGAGGTGTTTTAGCTGCAAGATGTCACAAGTTAGGCAGGTCAGTAAAGGCCATATACAGCCCATGGCCAACTTATAGATAGATTGCATTCCAAAAATGCGTAACCCTAACTAAAAAAATTTAACACGTACACACATAGTGTGTGTATTTAAAGAAGTAAATTAAATGAGGTCAGGTTCTCAGAATAGCCAATATGTACTTAGCCCATTGGAGCCCATGGTGGAAGGCTCAGTAGGACTTAACTGCTATTGTCAGCATCAGAGAAGGGCTCTGGAAGAAGGGTAATGAACTGCCAACCTCTGTAGTTTGAGAGGTACAAGTTGAGCCTTTGGAATTGATGGGAATTCTAAAAATCAGGACTAGGGGTAGGATGTGGCCAGAATGTTCACAGCAGCAGCAGAAAAGGACTCTGGCATCTCAGGAACTGAGGCCTCTCAGTCCGTATCATATTGTTCTAAGGGAGGTAGAAGCACAGAATGTTTTCTCATTTGCAAAAAGCTCATTGAGGATCTGTTAACGTCTGTCTGTGGAGCTGGGTGACAGCAATATAAGGATGAGTAAGACAGTTTTCTCACTTCAGAGTCTCATGAATCATAATAACAGCTTCTATTGATTGGGTTTGTGCAGTGCTTGAGGGCACCGGGAAAGGCAGCTTTACCTAAGCTATTATAGTTATAACTCCATCTCACAGATTGGTATATTAAGGCATAGAGACCTTATGTAACAGATACAAAGTCAGTTAACTAGCATTAGGTATCTCTTCTTACAAATCAAATCTAGAACAATAAATCCATAATTTGTGAGAGAAATTCCATTCTTGAGAGATTTTTAAAAATTGCCAAATTCTTCACTACATCTTCCCTTTGAGACATAATCATCTAAGCACCTATTTCTATTTTTTTATACATTCTTTAATTTTTTTTTCTTTTTCTTCATAGCTGTACCCACAACTGATGGGCTTAATTCGGTGAGCATCCAGTTGAAACTTAAGACTTAGGACCTTCCATCTTTATCTTAATTTTATTGAATTCTGACACCTAAGTTTTTTTTTTTTTTAATCACTAGTGTCAGTATTCTCACTTTTCTTCTTCCTACTCATTGTCATAAACTAAAGCAGACCATTTATATAATTGCACAAACACTGCTTTACACAGCGATGCTGCCGAAATTGCCAACACTCCTGACTTGAGGGAGCATGACCATGCAGCAGCTTCAACTGTTTCTCCCCTCAGCCTATATACATGCGTCTGAGTTCAGTACACAGGGAGGCTGTTCAGAGATGTTGATGTGTAGGGTGAAAGTGGGTTGATTGGAAATCAGATGTTTGGGAGAAAAAGGACACTGGCATTGGGAGATACCACATGCTATTTGCCCAGGAACCCAGAAATGCCCAAAGTCTCTCCTGCCAGTCACTCTTACCTGGGAAATGAAATGGGTGTGAGGGAAATGCACACCTAAAAGGCAATTGGAAAGAAAATGAATCTTTTATTGTCAGTTGAACTTGTGCCCCAAACTCCAAACTACTTTCTGGTGAGGTGGCCTGCAGCCCATGGCCCAGGCTTAAAACCTGCTGGATCTTGTCACCTTTCTTTAGCCACATTCAGACCTAACCACTCTTTGGTCGCATGAAAGAGCAAAAAAAAGGAGAAAGCACCAGAAAGGAGTGGTATCATCCCCATGTACTTAAGCTTTTCACTCACAATGTCCACTAGCAGTTGTGGCTTGTCTGACTTAGAATCCAGCCCTTTCAGAGAGGACAGTTCTTTTCTGGTGTTCATTCTATCAAGGGCTGCCCTAAGAGGCTGAGCCAAGATTGGAATCTATGTTATTTGAGCCCCAAAGCCCATACTCCTACTGTGTAAAGCCAATGCTGCTCTCAAGATCAGTAGGTCAGGGCAATAGAACCTGGAAATGGCAAAGGATGATTACTACACATTAGCAGACTACAGTCCTGTTTTTAAGCTAAATGTTATTCAGAAATAGTAATTCTTGCCTCAGACCATTAGCACAGACTATAAACAGAAGATCTGAATCTATAAAAATGTAAGGAGGAAGCTCATTTTTTTAAATACTTTTTTAAAGATTTATTTATTTATGATAGAGAGAGAGAGAGGCAGAGGGAGGGAGAAGCAGGCTCCATGCCGGGAGCCTGATGTGGGACTCGATCCTGGGGCTCCACGATCAGGCCCTGGGCCAAAGGCAGGCGCCAAACCACTGAGCCACCCAGGGATCCCCAGGAAGCTCAGTTTTAATATATATTGGAATAACTTCCAATTTTCTACATTAGTATTACTGTGCTGTGGCACATAGTTTGTAGACACCTGTGCTTTGATAATATAAACCTGCTACATTTCCATAAAATAAAATTATAAGTGAGCTGCTTTTTAAACCCTGTTAAGTTAGTATGCAATGTCTAGTGAAAATGGCATTTAAGTGCGACATTTGGTTCTCAACAATATTAACAAAATACTATTAGCAAAATATGATCTGTACTTCTTGCAGGTCTATAGATGTTTTTTGCTGCTGATGGAGATTGCATCTTGGCCTCTGAAGCCTGGTCTGGGCTGGACTATGAAATAATAAGCAGGTCTCTAGGTCATCTCCGGGTGAATGAAAGGCTGTGGTTTGCTCTGTAGAAATTTCAGGTCTTGCAGGATAGCAAACTGCCTGAAGCACAACACATAGTGAATTACCTTTTGAACTTCCACATCACCAGATTATTTCAGTTTAAGTTGTTTATAAAGCAACCCACAGAATTTCCTAGTCTGTCCCAGCCCTGGACTCACCAGAGCCCTATCATTTTACCAACCCCACAGGGCTGAACAACATCTAGGAATCTGATTTTAATCAGACTTTCTCTCTAGGTCTTTGTGTGCTTATGTTCCAAGTACACATGCACACACATGTGCACATTTCCCCAAAGATATGTAACCCAAGAGTGGGGAAAAAAATCTGCCCAATTTTATTAAAACTATTTCAACCACAAAAAAAGAGATAACTGCATTTTCTCTCAAGCACAACCTTTGGGATCTTTCAGAATATCCTCTTCTAAGCTGTATCTCAAATGACTTCTAAAAGTACTCTTTGTGAAAGGAATGTACATGAAGCATTTGTTTACTGTATTATTTAACTGTCTCTCTTTTTTTTTTTTTTTTTTTACACTTTGTTAACAGAATATGACATGTTTTTATCAGGTCTGTAGTTTTTGTTTTTGTTTTTGCCGTTTTCTTCTTAGGGCTAATTTAGTGCAGCCTCTGTTTTAATAAAGTTAAGATATTTCTTCTCCCTTCCCTTATATTCCCTTTCACTATTATTCATATTCCCCAAATGAATGAGAACATACACTGTTTGTCCTTCTCCGATTGACTTACTTCACTCAGCATATCAGAAAGGGAGACAGAACCTAAAGACTCCTAACTCTGGGAAACAAACTAGGGGTGGTGGAAGGGGAGGAGGGCGGGGGGTGGGGGTGAATGGGTGACGGGCACTGAGGGGGACACTTGACAGGATGAGCACTGGGTGTTATTCTGTATGTTGGTAAATTGAACACCAATAAAAATTAATTTATTAAAAAAAAATAAAGTTAAGATATAACAGACTATTTTAATTTCCTTTCCTCTTAAGAATAGAATTCTACTCAGAGTGTGAAGTGGATCTTTTTAGTTCTCTGCCTTGGGTACTATTTTAAGTAATTTCTAGGAGCAGTTCTTGTTGGACTCCTTGTGTGCTCGTGCACTGGTCTTCTTGTCTTCCTCCTTCCCACAGCCACACTGTTTGGAGATTGGGCTTTGGAAGATTTAAGTGGAAATCAATTGAGTGGTAATTTTACAATCTCCATATATTATCCCATGTAGAGTCTAGACTTGTTATCTTGCCTGACAAGTCACCGATGTGTTGTTATTACCAGTGACTGCCCAGGTCACATGTCCTAAGTGTTTTTACCAGGATTATCTTTGTTTCTCTCTATTCTGTCACTGGGAGGAGCCCGATTGGAATGAATGCTTGACCTTCTCCTGATTAAAGGTTTTGAAGACTCTAAGCCCCTGTATCTGCAATTCCAGAGTTGTAGCAAATCTTACGGCTGCCATGTTTTGTATGGAGAGCGTGAGTGATGTTCATGCAGTTCTAACTTTTTGAACTGCCCTCTGCCTTGTCCAAGTTAGTACTCTGTAAGCAGCTCTGCACCTCATTTATTTCTGCACTAAGTGTTCCACAGCACCTCCAGCTTCGGTATGGGAAAAAATCCTTCTTGAAAGTCATTTCAGCAAAAAATTAAATATAATATGTGAAACAGTTGTAACATATGTCTAGAATTCTGAAATTTTTTTCTACTCAGTGTATTGTGTTTCTGGAACTATGTATATTAACAGGCAGATGAAGCAAATGTTGATGAGATGTGAATTATTATTTCAAAAAATAGAAGCAAGGTGACTGTTAGGAACTATTTTAGAGACCGTTCGATTTTAGAGCCATTTATGCTTTCTTAGGTGCATTCTCTAGTCTCCTTATTTCTCTTTTGATTCAGTTTTTACATTTAGTGGTTCAAAGATTTGGGGAGGTGGGGGTTCAGGCAAGTCTTTGTGTGCCTGTTTTCCCAGGAGTTTCAGTATACAGACCCTAAAGAATCATCTGGGGTTTATAGATCAAAAAGTAACAATTGCTCCATTGATTTTCAAAAGGCATGGAATCCTGTAGGCAGAACCCCATTAGGCTGTGCCCATAAAGGAACCAGCAGCTTTTCATTGGTGTACTTGTTAAAGATTACCAGCCTTGATAGTACTAAATTTCAAAAGCTGGCAAAGTTAAGAAAAGAATAAGCAAAAATGGCAACAATAGCCTAGTGATTGTGGCTTGCTATTGTTTGGGCTTTTTTGGAAACCAGGCATCAAAGGAAATTTTCTTCTGAAAGAGTCGTTTGAGATATAGTGCAGCTAAATTGTTTTGTGTTGTGTTTAAGTTTCCAGTTACAGAAACAATCACAAATTAATTCCTAGCAAGCAGTGTGATGTTATAGCTGCCCCCTTGAAAAGCGTTGGAGTTCTTACCCAAGTCGATACTGAAAAATGCTATTAATCATAAAATTACATGCTGTTGTTCCATTTTTTTCTTTCCCCCTTCCCGAGCGTCCTTACTTACCTGTTTGCTGAAAAAGTTGCTGTGGCTCTAAGATCTTAAAGGAGAACAAGAGACGAGTTTTTTGTTTTGTTTTGTTTTGTTTTTTAAAGAGGCTTTCATACAAGGTAGCCTGCTGGTTCTGCTCCCTGTGGATTCCATTAAAGTCTTTTCCAATGGATTCCTGATTCCTCTTCCCTCCCACCTCCCACGAAAGATGTAAATAAATAAACTGTTCATTATTATTTTCTTTCTTTTCTGCCTCTCTTTCTCCCCCCTCCACTCTCATACCAGACGATGAATCCTCCTCTTCCGCCGCCCCCTTTACTGGCCTCCACACCTCCAGGCGCTGCTGCTGCTGTTACTGCTGTTGCTGCTGCTGGAGCTGCTGGAGTGGGACCGAGGCCCACAGCGGGACCCGCTGACCAGATTGCACATTTACGGCCTCAGGCTCGCCCCAGTGTGTAAGTGAAGATGTCATTTATTACTGCTTTAAAGTTCACTTCAAGCTAGGCCCAAACAGCAGAGGTAGAGAAACACCTTTCTGATAGGAGCTGGTGACAGGCTTATGGCTCACCAAAGTGGTTTGTGTTCTGCAAACTTACACCCAGTCATGCATATAATGAGGAAACTGCTGAAACAAAATGGGTCCAACACATGAGCTCGCTAGGCAGCCATCGTGCAGCCATCCCTTTTACAGTTTAGGGAAACATCGTGTTTGCTTCTTCATAATAGTATATGTACACGGAACCGCCTTTTTGTATAATTCCTGTTTGAGCTTTTTGTCTTCATTTTCGTTTCTTGCATGAGGATGCTAAGGAACAGGAAGGTATTCCCACACAAATCAGACTTAGAGGGAGCGTGCATGTGGAAAGCTGGAAATCCCCAGCAATAAGTATGCAGAAGAGCCTCATTGTCTCGTTCAAAGTTTACTGATGGCAGAAAAGAGCTACATTTTTATGGCCCCATCATGTGTGATTTTATACGCGGAACAGTTTAGAGCCCTGGTTAAAAAAAAAAGAAGAAGAAAGAAAGAAAAAAACTATTCATTGGTTGGTGTTGCCTACCTAGTTTCCATTGTTGGTGGCACAGTCATCTTGCACTGTGGGGTGGTTTTGCACTGTCTATGATCTGGACTTTTTTTTCCTTTTGACTTTTTCAAATTCACTATTTTTCCTGGCTGAGCATATGAAAGCAGATGGACCCCAAACCTCTAGGTTCAGCTTGTGTGTGGAAGGCAGCATGTTGTGCCTCCCAGTGGGATTTCATGCCATATGTCCTCATTTGGGGCTACTTCCCACGTCTAACAAGTGCCATTTGAAGAGCTCAGGTTTCCCGGTAGGTCCCTAATCCCCAGCAGCAAGCTAGACACTTTGGGAAGCTGGGTAATTCTTTCACACCCCACGAATACCATTTGGTTGGATAGTCACCTTCACACTGAGGGGGACCAGGTTGGCACTTCTTAATCAGGAAGGCCTCTGTCAATTGTAGGCTGCAAAAACTCTCTCAATGGCAAATCACCAGTGCTACTCACAGGTTAAACCATTACATTTTCTCTTTACACATATATGGAATATTCAAGACTTTGTACCAAGGAAGAGTTTTTGAGCATTCAGGGGCTTGTGTGCTACTCAGCCTGAAATCAAATATTCTTTTTTATTTTAGGTATGTTGCTATATATCCATACACTCCCCGGAAAGAGGATGAGCTGGAGCTGAGGAAAGGGGAGATGTTTTTAGTGTTTGAGCGTTGCCAGGACGGCTGGTTCAAAGGGACATCGATGCATACCAGCAAGATAGGGGTTTTCCCTGGCAATTATGTGGCACCAGTCACAAGGTATGGTCTTGAATAAATGGTTTACTAAGTTCTAAACAGAGAAGCTTTGTTCTTTCCCATGGTTTTCAGCCTATCCAAGATTCCTTCTCACACTATAATTGTCTGTTACATAGCCAACATTTAAAAAATTCATATCTCTACTTGCTGAAATCCCTTCTAATTCTCAAATTCTTAGCTTACTTTTCACATGAGTATATGTGAAATTATAGGTTTCAGCCAATAAATGTACTAGGTTTTAAATTATTTGCTTCAAGTTATATGTGAGAAGATCCAACTATACCACTTTCAATATTTTTCTGCTCAAAAATAAAAAATAACATGTTTAGCATCAACAAAAGCTATATTATTACATGTTTGTGTAACACTTCCTATATGCCAGGCAGGCAGATTTTGAAATGCATGTTACTCATATTAACTCGGAGTCCTTAAGCAACTTGTTGATGTAGTTGCTGTTATTATTCCCACTTAATAGATGAGAAAATGAAGGCACAGAGATATTAAATAACTCCTCTGAGACGGTACAGTGAAGAAGTGCTTAACCTAGGTGTCTAGTTCTATATTCATTACAATAGCTTGTTGATGACCTCAAAATTCTGAGTTTCTTTTTTAAAATTTAATTAATTGTTTAAAATTTAAATTCAGTTAGGACGCCTGAGTGGCTTCACGGTTGAGTGTCTGCCTTTGGCTCAGGATGTGATCCTGGAGTCCCAGGTACAGTTCAGTGATTTATAAGTCTTCTTATATAACACTCAGTGCTCATTATATCACATGCCCTCCTTAATGCCCATCACCCAGTTACCCCCATCTCCTCCTCCACCTCCCCTCCAGCAACCCTCAGTTTGTTTCCTATGATTAAGAGTCTCTTATGATTTGTCTCCCAATTAATTTCTCTAATAAAGTCAGAAATAAAATTCCTTAAATATGACATCGATCCTTCATCCTTCTCAGTTAAGGGTGATTTTGCTCCTCAAGGGAATTTGGCAGTGTCTGAACACAGTTTTGATTGTTACTATGGAGGATGTGGGAGGATGTTGCTATTGGCATGTGTTGCATAGAAGCCAAGGATGCTGCTAAATGTCCTATAGTACACATAATAGCCTCCTACCAAAAGGAATTGTCTGACCCAAAACATCCCTGAGGTAAAAAAAAAAAAAAAAACTCCGTTATAGGATAATAGGAAGAGCTTTAATTATACAAAATTTTCATTCCTTTTTTTTAAATTTTTTTTCTCAAAATTTATTTAAAGATAGCTCACCTTCTAGTCACTGAGGAAAGTAGCCTTGGAAACTGAATGAAAAGACCTATAATGGCATTGAGGGAGCCTCAGATTTTAACCACTGTGCTTTTAATAAATGGTCCAGGTTTAGCTGTGTTAAATCATTCCTCAAACACCCTGATTTTAAATAAATGGCTTAATGAACTGACATGTTTGTCAGCTGTTGGCCTTGATTTATAGGTTGGCCAGCAGCCTAATCAAATGAAGATCACTATTGTTGCAGATGGTGACAGAATGTTAGCTTTAATTTGACTTGCAGATTTTTAATCAATATAAACCTTCTTTTCTGTGTATGTTAAAATCTACATTCAGGATCCAGAAGATGGCAGATAGACCTTCCCTGATGAGGAAAAAAACAAACAAAAAACCACCATCACAACTGAGGGAAATAAAACAAACCAAGCCACAACAAAAGACTAAGTTAATGAAGGAAAGCATTTTCATAACCTTCAAAAACAAATTATTAAAAGTCTCTGGGGATCTGCTTACTTAGAATAAATTTTCTGTTATTTATCATAATAAATAATATGGATGTTTGAGTTAATGAAGTATTCTACTTTGTAGAAAGTTACAGTACTATACTATATAGAATATAGTAACTATACAGCTATACTATACAACTCTACTATGTAGAGTTATTTAAATGAATTTAGGATATAAAAAAATACATGACACAAAACTACATTGAACCTATTTTAATTTAATTTAACCTATGAATGCTTCTTTAGAGCTGTTTCAAGAAACTTTTACTGAATCAGGAGTATTTAATAAAGAATTTACATGCTAAAAATAACACATTTGGTGATCAAGGGCCATAGAAGGAAGAAATTCACGTGAAACCATAGAATCATAAGGTCTTCAACCTAAGCCTTAGGAATGTCTTCTCTAAAAGAAGAGATTTCTGCTGGGCCTTGAAACATACATGAGATTAAGACAGGTAAAGAGAAGCTAAAGAGAATATTGAAGAGTGTGTGCATATGTGTATATGCACATACATACATGTTCACAGGCACTCGTGTGATCTGAGCTGGGAGCAGGCAGAGAAAAGGGCCAAAAACGTGAGCAAAGCTATGAAAAAGTAGCAAAACTGCTAATGTTATTAGCAGCAATAGTAAACAAATCAACTTCTTTGATAGCTGAAGCAGAAGAATCCAGGACCTGGAAGGCAGTGGCGGGTGCTGAGTCTTGATGTGGAAAGCTGAACCCAGTAACCACTTATTCTTGAGCAGATTATGACGTGTAATGTTCTGTGACTCACAATATATTTCCAGACCTTTCTCTCCCTCAGGGCCATCTTTACTTTGAATTTGTGATTTTTACATTTTTTACAAAATGTAAAAAACCATCATTTCTTTTAAAATGTTCTGTTTTAAAACCCCAAGTCATTTTTCTTGCGTTTAATGTTTTCTCCCCCATTTTGCTGTTTGATTGGGCTCTCTGTCTCTGTCTCTGTCTTGGCAGGGCCGTGACAAATGCTTCCCAAGCTAAAGTCCCTATGTCTACTGCTGGTCAGACAAGTAAAGGAGTGACTATGGTCAGTCCTTCCACTGCAGGAGGGCCTGCCCAGAAGCTCCAGGGAAATGGTATGGCTGGGAGCCCCAGTGTTGTCCCCACAGCCGTGGTGTCAGCAGCTCACATCCAGACAAGTCCTCAGGCTAAGGTCTTGTTGCACATGACTGGGCAGATGACAGTCAACCAGGCCCGCAATGCTGTGAGGACAGGTAAGGGGGAGACTGGAATGGAAAGTACCAGGAAAGGGGCTGCTAGCCTAAACCAGCTCTTCTCCAACAGGTGTTGAGAAAAGCAGATGTTATGTTATGGTAATGAAGAACATTAGGAAATGAAGTAGGCACAGTCTAGTTAGCAGCACTCCACATCTGCTTATTTTGGCTAAGCCTGCCCAACACATTAATTCAAGCCTGATCTCCAGATTGAAAGTCTGAAAGAATCAGGCCAATCCTAAGAATAGCAATAGACTTGAAAATATGACGTCTGCAGTTAATACCGGAGGAGCTCAAACCTCACCGCTGTCAGCTGTGTGACCACGACATTGTACTCTACTAACTGGTGTGCTGATTTCTGATGAGCTTAATCCCAAATCTGTTTTAGACCCAATAGGATCTTAAATAACTTTCTATTTTCCATAGTGGTTTTGAAAACCTACCCAACATTCTTGGGTAACAATGGTGGGGTAAACTTGTAAATTCTATCAGAAAAACCAAAAGAAGGAAAATGGTTACTAAGGGAGAAGAAATGTATGTATGTATGTATTATTTTATTTTATTTTAATTAATTATG